TGTACAGGCATACTCAGAGTTCGTCAGGAGAGAGTATGGATTGGCAACTGTTGTATTTGATAGTTATGATGGGACTCCTTCTATAAAAGACAATACCTATCAAAGAAAAGGACAGAATATCCACCCAAATGTAAACTTTACGGCTAATACCGAGTTTGATGGCAAAAAGGATGAGTTCCTTTCGAGGCATAACAAGTAGATACATACTCCAAGTATCAAGTATCAAAACGCACACCATCGTGTCGGGATTCAATATTTCGACATTAATTATGTCATCATCAGGATTTACGGGTTGTGATTCAACATCTTAAAGAAGCAGCTTTTTCCAGAAATTGGTGGAGGGGGATTAGATTCTTAGATTATGTGCTGAAGCATTTAGTCAGCCAAATCAGAACACTGATGTAATTGTGGAATTTGTAAGAAAGGCTATGGCTATCTTGTTTGGGACTGAATCAATTGATTCACTTGATAGCTTCAGATGTAAGCAAGAAAGTTGTTGGGGGGTATCGATTGTGGCGCCTCAGCAACTACCTCCAACTACATCTGCCAGTAAATTTCATTGTCAACTTTTAAAAATCATCCATTGCAATTGCACTACTGGATGTAAAACACCACGTTGCAGTTGCAGATGCTATGGGTTGGCATGCACATCAGCCTGTGGAGCCTGTCAACTTAAGGGATGTGAGAATGTAGAGAAAGTAATAGATGATGAAGAGGGAGAAATGGAAACAGATGACTATTGATTTATCGTAAACTACAAAATACATTAAATATAGCAAGCCTGGTCCTTAAGTCCAGTCTACTTGTTGGTATAACTGTTAATCAATAGAATCTTAGATGACAACTTTCTTTGATTTGATCAAAAAATGACGACACTTAAAATTGCTAAAGTAAGTACTGATTTATGACTGTTTATACATGGCGGCCATCTTGGACGCCATCTTGAATTGATTTATATTGATTATATCACATTCTAAATTGTCTGAAATGATTTACTGACCCAAAAAACTTGATATTGTTTTAAAAAGATCACGATTATATCACAATTTGTAGCTGTTTTATGGTATGGCCGCCATTTTGGCGGCCATCTTGGAAAAAACCACTTTCCGGTGGTCGGATTTCATAAGACTTTTTAAATGTTATTTAGCACACTCAATACTACCAAAATCCGTTGAAAAACCTTTTGTTGCAATTTTTTGGGGGTTAATGACACTTTTAGTAAAATTCATCATCATCACATCAATATTAGGCAAAATGAAGCGCCAAAAGAAATTCTCATGATCTTTTATCAGGGATTTTTGACAACCATAGAGATCTTATTAATGTGTGTGTATACACCATAGAAAACAAAGCTTAAAACATTGTCTTTGAGTATGTACTTTACATAGGCCTACTTCAAAAACGTGATTCCACAACCACCTCAGCCCAACCATGGCTGGAGCTGAGGTGAGAAAATTTGAGGAAATAGTACCTCTCGAGATGGCCGGAAATGACACTTTTATATAGTAACACAACTTTTTTTCGCATTTAGCACAATTTTCTTCACTTTTTATTGCTATTAATATTATTATCAATTATTACTATCGTCATTATCATCATTGTTATTATTATTATTACTATTAGATCACACATCATCATTGGTCAAAATGAAGCGCCAAAAGAAACAAACATGATCTTTTATCAGGGATTTTTGACAACCATAGAGATCTTATTCTTATTATTGTGTCTGTAATATACCATAGAAAAAAAAAAAAACGTAGAAAAAAAGCTTAAAAACATCGTCTTTGAGTATGTACTTTACATAGGGCTACTTCAAAAACGTGATTTCACAACCACCTCAGCCCCACCATGGCTGGGGTGAGGTGAGAAAATTTGAGGAAATAGTACCTCTCGAAATGGCCGGAAATGACACTTTTATATAGTAAAATTCATCATCATCACATTACCATTATAGTCAAAATGAAACGCCAACAAAGTTCTCATGATCTTTTATCAGGTATCTACTTAATATCCAGGACAACTTAGGCCTAATTATAGCTTACTAAGCTTTAACTATATATACTATATTACGATCAACAATTAAATCACAACTTCTTTTTGCATTTAGCACAATTTTCTTCACCTTTTATTGTTATTAATATTAATATCAATTATTACTCTCGTCATCATCATCATTGTTATTATTACTATTATTACTATTAGTAGTAGTATTATTAAAAAAAACATTTAAAGAAACTTGCAAAAGGATAAAAACGAAATTGAACCACAGTACCGAATTTCTATCTTAAAAGACCTGGCTTGAGATTTATGGATTTAAGATTTTTTTAAATCACGCTTTAGGCTTATGTGTTCTATTAGGCCTATGTATAACGTGTACTGATGCATATTTACATGTTTAGAAGTATTCATTTTAAGTGATCCCAGGAAAGAATTTGTATTGGCTCAAGAATAAGCTTTAAATTTTTAACACTGTGTACAAAGGGGGGGAGCCGCGGCTCCCACGGCTCCCCCCCCCCTGGATACGTCTGGATACGTCCCTGGCCTTCTGACATAACATTCACGAGTTATCATCCTTAATCTGGAGAACATTTTACAGAAATGAAGGTGGTGCAAAATTCGGCAAATCAAATTGTTTTAGCTTTCTAAAAATAAACCTCGATTCCTACTGTTACGTTTATAGTAAAATATACACAAAAATATTTGAATCAACACAAAGAATATTATTGACGATGACCTAAGTATTAAACCTGTAAATTTAATATCTCAAAATCAACAAAATCATAAAACAAATCGCTCTGTTAAATCTATAGGTTACTACTGTACTGTACGCTTAATATTTTAAAATAATATCAAATTTTCTACCAAAATTTAAACAATGCGTATCGGATCTAATAAAATTTTTCTCTACTATATTTCATACTCTAAAATATTTGAATTCATACAAAGAAGAGTGTTGATGACTTTGAATAACTGATTATAAGTATAAGCGACTAATTTAAATACTTGAACATTATTACAATACAAATATAATGGGCTAGAAGTCTTATCTGGAGAACATTTTAATGAAATTAAGGTGGTGGAAAATTTATCAAAATTAAATTGTTCTTTTAGCATTCTAAAATAAAACCCCTCGATTCCTGCTGTTACGTTTATAATAAAATATACACAAAATAATATTTGAATCCACAGAAAGAAAATTATTGACAATGACGTAAGTAATAACCCTGTAAATTTAATATCTCAAATCAACAAAATCATAAAATAAATCTCACTAAACTGTACTGTACGTTTATTTTAAAATAATATCAAATTTATTACGGTACATATTAATGTGTGTATCGGATCTAATATAATTTTTCTCTAGTAGGCCTATATTTAATACTCTAAAATATTTGAATTTACACAAAGAAAGTGTTGACGACTTTGAATAACTGATTATAAGTATAACAGACTAATACTTAAAAACATGAACGTAATTACAATACAAATCAAATATAATGGGCTAGAAAAGATGAATAGTAATCCTTAAGAAGAAAAAAAAAAACGAAAGTTGATATAAACTGCAATGGTAGGCTATGAAAACAAACAATTAAGTCTAATTAATATCGGAGCGATTTTGACCTCTTAGTATCTAATAATCACACAGAATTTATTACAAAATACGACAGCTCAGTTTATTACAAACACGACAGAGAGTTATTACAAAATACTTCAGCTCTGTCATTATATACGACAAGGTTTATTACAAAATACGACAGGTATTACAAAATACAATTATTACAAAATACGACGTAACAGTTCTTGTCGTGTGGTCGGTGCATGGAATGACCTGCACAAATCATCGAGTCCAAGCTTAATGAGCACTCATCGAATACTTCTACTCACCGTAACATTTGTTTATTAACAAATTAGGTAAAATCTGAAAAAATCCACCAATACCATCAATTATTGATACTACGGTAGTTGTTGAGTGTTGAGCGTAAGCTTTTCACTGCCACAAAAACAGACCTATGGCCCCTAATTGATAAGCTCCCTGAAGTTGCAAGAACCCTCACAAAATATTGTTTAAATAAATTAAATAAATGAATAGTCAATCATTAATTAAAACATTATTAGCAAATAAAAGTAGGCATAAGCATTTGACAACCACAGTAGCAGACAAGGTACACAAAAGGCAAGTACTATTTATATCAATATATAAAAAACAACTCATAAAAGCAGATTTTTTTTTTCATAGGTTTCCGCCGATGAGATTGTAATCGGATCGTGTTTATCCATGCATGTAGAATTATATTTTTAACTTGGCAGTATTTTTCAACTTTGCTATGCAATCAGGATTTTTTGTCCAGCTTACTGGTTAAATTCAATTTTTTTCTAAATTGCATTCATTTTTTATTTGAATCTCATAAATGTCTACCCATGGTTTCGTCGATTAAAAGCATATTCCGTATTTGTTATAAGACCACTCTAAAATGCATTCGGTGATTTAAGGTGCCGCCCTGGTTCGAGAGTACCATTGGAGCCCTTGACGCATATACAGTACATCCTTAATAAATCATTCGTTGGTAAACACCATCCTGAGCGCAAACCCATTTATGAAATCGAATGTTGTACAATTAATTATTTTTTGCTGATTGAAGGTAATTCATAGTGCTATCACCCGACGGACACCATCCCGGTTGTTATTTCACGTTTCGGGGCAGGAATATAGATTAATAATGTATTAATAATACTGTATATAGG